TCATTTATTGATATTTTTAAGGGTTTATTTATTTATCTATTCTATTTATTTTTTATTCTTTTTTTATGTTTATCCTTTTTTTATTTTTTGTACCAAACACCTAAATAGTATAAAACTTGTATTATTTAGTTGATCGGACGCTGATGACCTGGATGTTTTGCGCCTAGACATCGAAACAAATAAACAAACACTTTGAAAAAATAGCCTGAAATTTAATTAATGTGTGTCTTCTTTTATGCTGACGCCATGAGATACAAGAGAAACATTCTACAGGCGAAAGAAAATTTCTTTTGTATCCCATCATTTTAGGAAATCTCTTTTTTTTTTTTTTTTAATATATAGTTTATTTCTAGACTAGATTAGTACCCCATACATGGGTAATTGAACAATAAGTAAAATTTTTAACAGTCATCAAAGTGAGCGTATTGTCTCATGAATAAAGACAACCCTGAAGATACATATTGTTTATAATAATTGTGCAATAAATAAAGCTTAGAAATGATAAAAGATAGTTAATTAAATAAATACAAGTTAATAAATTAAATTAAAACCATAAATAAAATGAACTAAAATAAAATAAATAAATTTTAAAAAAATTAATAAATACAGAAGTAAAAAAAAAAAAAAACTATACATGATATAATGAAAAATAAAGCTTAATATAAGTAAAAATAAATTAAATTAAAATATGTGTGTAATAAGAACAAATAAAATACTTAAAAAATAATAATAAATACAAATTTAACAAATAATTGTGCATGATAGAATAAAAAAACAAAACGATAAAGTATTGCTTGCAGAAACTGATCAATAAATATCTCATGATTTGGAGGCAAGGAAATTAAGATGGGCAGGGCATGTTGCTCTGAGCAATCCATCATGAAGCTCTTACACAACAATTAATGTATCAATAGTAGGCAAGAGACCACGATGAGGGCCAAAAACCAGATTGATAGATCGAGTCAGCAAAAATGAGAAAAAAACAGCATTCAGATAAATGGAAAGAAATAGCCCAAGATAGGGGAAGATTGAGGAGTCTAGTTAAGGCGTGAAAAGATTCCAAATGTGTTTGATGTTAATAGAAAAAAACAAAGAAAAAAAAACATAATTATTTACTGGATTTTCCGGCCACAGGATGATAATGAAGTTCATATGTTGAAAGCTACAGCGCCTTTAACGAAGCTTGAAATTTTTCACTTGCATTTCACGATAAATCTTTATAAGAGATCTCAAAAAAACTAATTCCTTATCAAATGTTGATCCCAAAACTCCAAGTTTTTTTTTATATTATTAATATTTCGATAACTGGAATTCCTGAAAGTTTTCATAACAATTAATTTCAATTAATAAGATTCCAAAGGCCCAGAACACTTAAAGGCTCCTGCTTTTTGTTTCCACCTGCAGAAACAGCGTTTAATTAATTCCATCTAATAAATCACCGACGCGACTGAGGCCCTTAGCTCTAACTGACTTATACAGGGAATTATTCTTACCGTGATGGAGCACTTAGGGGAACTTACTAAGTTTAATCTTGGCCAGATAAGCGTCGGAGATTCGAAATATAAAGTAGCATTTATTATAGTGAAATAAGTCCGTCTAAAATTGGACTCTTTAGACTAAGGCGATTCATCTGAAGATACGATGAAATTTTACTGATTCAGAGGATTATCAATTAGCCTACATAGCTTTTCATGTCAAAGTGTTTGCAAATCAATTTGATTCAAAACGTTAATCACAAGGTAGGTCAGATTGAAGTCAGAATGAAAAAAAAAATGAATCAAAGAATATACGTTTTTGGAATTATACAGTATTAAGTATTCATTAGCGTACTGTGGACCAGAAATCAAATCTAGCGGGATTTTTATTTTTAAATTCAATATAAATTATATTTGGAACTAGAGGGCTAAATATAACTTTGATATTGATATTTAATATTTATAATTTTGCCGATTATAATTTTTTTTTAAATGAATATTTTTTTCCACTGTGTTGTCAAGAATTTTCATGAAGATTAATTATCCCTTAACCTCGCAATGGAGTATTATATTATTATAATTGTGTCATATCATGCTCAAGAAAAATATTCTAAAGCCTTGTCAATTAGGATTAAAAATAATAATAATAAAAAACCTGTACCGCTACAACCCATGAAGGGGGTCTTGGGTTGAGTACTATTTAGGGAAAGCACTGTTTCTAGGTCAACGGTTGTGCAAGGAGGTGATGAGACCGAGATCAAGCTCAATCGCCAGGTTTTCTCCCTTAATTAATTATTTAATTAAGAATGCTCACTTTATAGAGGCTGGGTGTGCCCAAGGAGGGTCTCCCGACCCAGGTCACCCCACGGCCAATGAAACAGATAAATAAATTCTCTGCCATGGGCCGGGGTTCGAATCTGGGACCTTTAGCATTGGAAGCTCAGTACCCTACCACAGAGCTACACCACTCCCTTTAGGATTAAGGAAAAGTTAAATTTTTCAAGAGTGAATTCTACAAAAGGATCAGACAACAGAACAAAATTCAGATGAATTCTTTATAAAATTTTGTCATTTTTTTAATTGTTGATGTTATCTTATAATCCTAAAAGTATATTTTTATTTTGAACAGACAGTAAAAAATTTCATCTAAAGGAAAGAGAAACTGGCGGAAACCAAACCGATGAACAATCTCCATTGTACAGTATGATATCTGTAAAAACTATTTATTTTTGAAAATGGGTTGGTTAGGGGAATGGGAAACGTTTTTAAAATACAAACAAAAATATACTTCTAGGACTATAAGATCAAAAAGAAAAAAATGACACAATTTCGTAAAGAATTCATCTGAATTTTGTTCTGTTTTTTGATCCTTTGTCGAATTCACTCTTGAAAAAAATTAACTTTTCCTTAATCCTAATTGACAAGGCTTTAGATTATTTTTCTTGGACATGATATGATACAATTATAATTATATAAGACTTTATTGAAAGGTTTAAGGGACAATAAATGTTCATCAAATTTTTTGGCAACAAAGTGTGATGTCTGTATAAAAATACTTTTTTTTAAAAAATTATGATCGGCAAAATTTTTAGAATGTAAATAAAAGTATACTTTTAGAGGTACAAGATAACACCAAAAAGAAAAAACTTATTTGACATGATTTTCTAAAAAATGGATCTAAACTTTACTTAAAGTCAGAATTACTTTAGCATACATTATTATCAGCTTCTTATAATAGAGAAAAGGAGTGTTAGTATTCATCATTTAAAACATAACACTTACTCACTGCTAATATTCGAAACCAGGATATATCTAAGTACTGAGTAATCACAAGAATATTTTTTTCTAAACTAACACTTCAGAAAATAAAGTGGTAACTTAATCCTAGCTTGAAGAAGTATTTATTTCCCTCTAGGAGAGTTCGGAATGAAAACTATCAGAAACCGATAAGCCTCCTATACCATGTATACTAAATAAAGTGAACATGAACTTAAAGTACTTACAACAACTTACAGTTTTGAGTTTTTTCCTTGATTTTGAAATTGATTTTGGGCCCACTGTGCCTCTTCTGCAACATCTTTTGTCCCACATCATCTGCGCATTGGACGTTTAAAAGTCGGTTCAATTAACTTTCATTGGAACTAGTTCACTTATATTCCCATCACGTTTAAAGAGCTGAAACAAGCTCAGTTTTATTTTCAGTTCAGTTACGTGTGAAATGTCACTTTTGATAAACGAAGCTCCAGCGAAACTCTTTCATCCGGCCTCCAATTATTTCGGATCGGAAAAACTGAACGTATGTGGGTTCCTAAATATAGGTTAGCTTAACATTTACGTAACTTTCAAATGCCCACTCCAGCCGTCGAAATGCTATTATTTCAATTATCTGCTGAATTTTCCACAGAACTCATCTTCCCTCAGACCTGACTTTACATGGATTACATTTTTAAAAAGGATATTTCGAATAATCATTGTAGTTCACGTTATGAATTTCTAAAAAGAAGGCACCAACTTGCAAGGAGATGTTACGAACTTGTGGTCAAAAACTTACTCAATATAATTTGACACACGAAAATTAGCAACAATTTAGAGTCCTATAAACTATAAACATTGTATAATTTTCTCATGAGTGTCATTTAAATTTTCATACACTTACTAAATTTCCGAGAAAATTTAGGGAAAAAAGTAATAAAGAAAAGAAAAACAGATTGGGGCATTATATTCTATTAAGTATATATTCTATGGTAAAATGTATATATATTTTTAAAAGATAATTAAACTACCAAAAAAAAAAAATCCTAAGAATCGGAGAAGTATTAGCGAAGATACAGTGTATTCTATTTTCTACACATATTTTAATTTATTACATTCCTAACTATACTAGGTAAGGAAAGTATTGAGATCGGGTCAAATTTCCGATGTTGCGGTTTTCGACGTATATATACCTTTCACAGCCCCACAGATTTTTTTTTTTTAAAAGATGGTGAATTTTCCAACAAAACTGTATAAAAATCGTTCATTTCGGTCAAATATTAACGATGTTACAGCTATTCAATTTCGTATGTAAGATTCTGAGTTTGAATTCCGGTGCCAGAAAGGGGTGAAAGAGAGAGAGAAAAAAAGTAGGTGAAAGTGAAAAGTTTCACTATTCAAAATTAGGCTGTGGAAAAATTTTTGATTAGGAATATTAGAGTGTTTTGATTTTTTTAAGCTGATCCTCCACAAGCCTGTTTATATTACTTTAGTTTTTCAAATAAATCATACTTTCTTTGATCAATCTTCAGGAAAATAAATCTAATTTAATTTTGTTTTTTCTTAATGGTCATACTGAAAGATATAAAAACTTTCCGAAACAGGGAGGAAAGCCGTTTGATTGTGTGTCGTGGGCATAAGATGGAGAGGAGGATATCCTATCCTCTAAAATTAAGATTTAATACATAAATAAGGAAATAAAATAGAACAGGTATGGTAACAGTTGTTTTATTGTATCACATGGAATATTTCTAATCCATTCAGAAGAAGTAATCATAGTAGGCGACTGGGGAGACCCACGGGGAGTAGACGTAGGGATCGGCGAGTAGGACCTGCTTCTTCTGCCTGATGACCTCTTGAGTAGCAGGCATGGCCACGGCGTAGGCGATTAACAAGGCGAAAAAGAACTGGAATGAAATGGAGTTTACTGAACATTGTTTCTTCTGCTGGATTAGTATGCAAAATAAAAAAACGATTATGCCGGGTTTGCTCATTAAATACAATATCGTACCTAAATATATATATATATATATATATTGTCTATAAAATATGTATTTTCTGCTGTAAACTTATTGTTGACAATCAGCAAATGTGATGGCGATACATGACATAATGACATGACAGGCATGGGGATAAAATTAAAAAACAAAATATACTAATTTAAATTTAAAAAAATAATGAACTGACATAATTATATAAATGAGTGAATTAAAGTAAATTTTATTCTTGGACGCCTAATCATCTTGGTACAATATAGACCTAAAATCCCAGAATTATTTTTCGTGCTTCTGTTAATAATTAAACTTTAAAATTGTTATGGAACCCTCCTAGGCGTCTGAAAAGAAGATGGCCTCGGGACATTCTAATATAGAACTTTAATTAGAGTTCTATATTAGAATGTCCAATGGGTAGTTTCTCTTCATGTTGTACATGTCATGTTACCAATGTCACATTTACTTGTTGTATTTTCAATGAAATACAGTTGTAAATTTCATTAAAATAAAAAAAAAATCTTATGAAATGATTTAATTATAAAGTAAGCATAATTAAATAGATTAAAATATTTAAATAATTTATATGTACACACATCCACATATATATTGATGCAGTCATTAAGGGTGAAAAAAATTAATATAAATCAGTAAAAAAACTCACGAAGAGACAGAAATCATTAGGTTATGATTGGAAAAATTTCAAATACACAGCCTTATGCCTCTAGAATGAAGATAAACTATAACAGAAAAACTCAATGCTACGTCAATTAAGGCATTATCCGGACAGAAAATACTTACAGTATGTGTTTTATTTTATGGCCTGATGATGCCTGAATTAGGGCAAGAAAAAACCGTTGACGATATTCTTTATTAAAATTTTGGAGATAGGAGGCTGTACGGTTGGAATTTCGCCAATTATAATCAAAGTATAAAAATAATAACCAAATAAAATTTACAAACGAAAAAAATGTTCTTACATATTTTTGAAGGATTGATAATTCACGAAATAAAGAAATAACTGATGTTTAAATGCGGAGTTTCACAACTGGACATGGGTATGAAATCCCAAAAAGAAATAGAATGAATCATTTTTTTGAAGAAAATTAAAGTTTTTCGAGAAGGAATATATGACTTGTGTTCAAAGAGTGTAAAAAGGAACATGGAGTGTATAGTTATCTGAGGTAAGAAATGTTTTGGTTTTAAAAAATTTCCAGAATATAGACACTTAGGAAATGTTATGATAGAAAAAGTAAATAATACTACTTTTAATCCGGTACACAAACGCAAATAGAATTTTTAAAAATGAAGCATATTTTCGTGTAATGTTAAATATTATTTGACATAAATGCTTTATTTCGGCGTGCTAGAATGGTATATCTTAAGAAGTATGATATTATTATATATATATTTTTAAAAGAAATTTCATAAGAAGAACTAAGTAGTTAGTTTTTATTTTATAATTTATCAAGCACCGTTTAACACTGATAAAGCCTTCGATGTTTTGTTGCGATAAAATTTCACCGCTCAGTATAGCACTATTACAATAAAACGTTTATAAAGAAAAACGTTTTCTTACTAAGGTTCAAACCTAAGCTATCTGTTGATATAGATTTTCTATTCAATTTTATTCAATTCCATTAGGCCAAGAACATATATTAAATAGCAAATACACAGAAAATTCACGTGAAAAATGTATTTTAGAAAGAACATTTTAAATTTCAATTCTGTAAATACCAAGTCGGAATCGATTTTTATCATTTTCCTAATGTAGTATTGTTTTTTTTTCAAGATGGTAAATGAAATAAAAACAATTCAATAATTGAGATATTGTATTTAATGAGCAATATTAGTACGTTTTCAGGTAAAATATCATGGATATTAGATTTTTTTTTTTTTAATGTCGAACGTTGCAAATACTTACAATGACTTTGATGGAGACCATTGCTATAAGATTGCTGTTCGCTGCTGCAGAGCTGATGAACTGATGCTGCAATGACGGTCCCATCTGCTTTATATCTTAGCCGACAAATATGGCCAAGGTCCGATGGCTGCCATGCAAAGAGGTAATACCTTGTAAAGAGGGTCTAGCTAACAATAGAGCCTACTTCATTTGTATGCCGTATGAATTTTAGGAAAAATAATACCTTTTGTTAATTAACTTTTAGCACCTTCGAGTTTACAGAAGTAGATATTCGTTGCATTTAAATAAAAAAAAAAAAAGAAATATTAATTTCCACAAACATAAATGTTATCCTTCAAGACAGTGTGTAATAAAAAGTATTCCGGATGGAGACGAGATCGACCTAATTTAATAGTTACTAAATCTAAACAAACGAATTTAAGTATTTTATTTTAGGCATCGATTCTTTTTGACGGTCTAACTTGAATTTGAGTCGTCAAAATCTATCGTCCATACGTTGACAACTATAAGAGCCTATATTTCTTCTATTTCCGTGCTAGTTTTGTTACAATTTTTTATTGTTAGACCTTAAATACCTGCTTACTGTTAGTCTATTTTCCTCCCAGTTTATGAAAAAGGCTGCTTGATCGTTACCAATATATATATTTTATGCACCTTACTTTGTCACAAATAAAATCATCCATAACGACCTTAACGTACCATATGTTTCCGATTTAGTCCAATCCAGATACCTATCCTTTTATAATAAACTTCTGAACCATCCGAACCCTTTTGTTTCCAATCTTGCTTCGTCATCTATTCCTGATAACCCTCTGAGGCGTCTGAAAAGAAGATGGACCTGGGACCTTCTAATATAGATCTTTAATTTGAGTTCTACCAATGGGTAGGGGTAGTTTCTCTTCATGTTGTAAATGTCATGTTACCAATGTCACATTTACATGTAGTATTTTTAATGTAATACAGTTATAAATTAAAAATATACATTAAAAAAAATAATTTACTATGGTTAGCGGACATAGCAAACACAAGATTTCCGATCTGATCATAATCTTGTTTACACGGTTTTTATACTATATCGTCAGTTTTTTTTGGTGTAGTTAGTGTATTTGCAATTATATTTCCATCATTTCAAAAATCTATATTTGATTCATGTTCTATGTATGCTTAGATACGTGCTTCCTCTGGAGTGCAGTGCTTTATTTTAGTTTATGCAATGAAATGAATGTGAAGTATTTAATTTTGATGAAACTTAAGATGTGTGTGATTATGTGAATAGTCGTGAATGGTGTAGCCCTCCATTAACCGTAGGAAATGGCGGGAACTCTTGGTTAATCAAAAAAAAAATCAGTATAATAATTTGCTACAAAACTAAAAGATTCAGCTTATCATTTTGCATTTTTGTGCAATCTTAAAATGAACTATCATCATATCGATTCAATGTGAATCATCTGTGATGTAAAGTCATTTATTTATTCTTTTAATGAGCGGGATGTTTAGATACTTCCCTCCTCTTTCGTCCGCTTTTGCAAGAGAAGAAAATACATTAATCTGAGAGTGGAAATTGTTTAAAGCTATACAGGTCGTATTATTTTTTTTTTCAAATTTCAAAACGATAGAATAATTGTTAAACTATTCAATTTCTCCATATTGATATATTTTTAAAATTAATAATAAATCAGACCATGGGTTGAATTTCGATTATTTTATATTTATTTTCCTAACTAACTTCCTAACTTTACTTTCCTAAGGTCAAAAATCAGATGGAAAGATCTAAGAAACAAAGATGCTCTAAAGTTGCATACATATAACTGGAAAGAATAGTGCAAGATAGGCAAAGATGGAGTAGGCTAATTAAGACGACAATAATCTACAAAGTCTCTAAACTCAACAGAAAAAATAAATAAATCAAAACTGCCATTATTCTATTAATGACTCACCTCCAACTTCATCATTCTATATTAGCAATGATCCTGCCTTTCTAATTAGTCTGATATATATGGATTTATGCAGGATTTATTTTATGCACCATTATAACCTGAAGTGAAAATGATAAAAAAATATATCATCCATATATAATTAAAATTTGCTCTTCTGTTGGTGGGACGATTAGTACGAAATGGGAGAAAGGCCTACATACTAATGCGATATGATACAATTACATATCCTGAAGGCTTTCTTAACCGATTCTTAATTAGATACCCTTGGGTCTATTTCCAAATCGCTCAATCCTTGCAAGGCAGAAGGAGAAAGTGATGGAGAGCTGCCAACATGGTGGAATGTGGACATCCGACGTAAACGAACTTCGAGGGATAGTGTAAGTCTCAAACCAAATAGTAAAAAAAAAAAAAATAATAAACAAATAAAAAGACCTATAATATAAAGTTGAAAAATATTTCGACAAGATATTAACGTACAACTGAAAATATGAAATTCAATGCTACCAGGAATTATTTTTTAAGCTCTCATAAATTGTAAGTTATGCATTATAGAAAGTAGACTAATACACGAATTATCAAAAAGGTGTAAGTAGTAGTGGTATTAGTGAATATTGTTTATTGTTTATTTTAGGTTATTTATTTATTTTTAGCGTGCCGATGAATACAACAAGATTTATTATAAAATTTCATAAAGTTCATTTTATTTTTTTTTATTTTCCATAGTACACTTTATTCTCAAGAAATTGTTAGAAATTAACATATGGAAACAGTATTAGTAAAGACGAAAATACAATAATAAAAAAAAAAAAAGACTAAACTGGTACGCATGCCATCTATTTTTAAATTAATGCTTTATTAGCTATTGATTAAGAAAATGCAGAGAAATGTAAAAATTAAAATAATTAAACTAAGATATTTGTTAGGAGCATTTGATATGTAGATTTAATTTTCAGGCTCCTTATTTTGGATATCATCTTGTTTATAACTTCATTAAATACTTACGGCCAATTAAAAATTAAGTCTTTTCCTGGAAGGTACGGTTACCTTTAAGATTTGAATAATTAACTTCTTACTAGAGGTATTAATTTCCACAAACAGATTAAGTGACTTCAAGGCAGCTCATTAAAAGGTGATAACATTAAAATTTTAACTACGTCAGGATTTTAGCGAAGCTTTATGTTATCCATTTTTGTTAGATAATGGCTAATTTAATTTCAAAACTTAAATGTGTACTTATGATTTTGTTACCACTCATCTCTAATAACTCTTACGGCTGGAATAAAGTAGCTGTGACGGTTGAAGCCAAGACAGGAACTAGCACAGCAACTATCATTATGCAAACTGTAAGAAAGTTTCCGTCATTATAGCATATAGTAACGATATTGGCAGTAAGACTCCATCAGTCGAGGTCGAGACAGCTACTGTCAAGTTGATTACTTAATATTATATTCCTTGACAGTAAACTATTCCATATTATCTAATCAAATTAACTTATTGTGAATATGTACGGAATTTTTTTTTTCATTCGTACATAGATTTGATTATGTACTTTATTCAACGTTCTTAACTAAATCAATTCGAGGAGGAGTAATAAAAAATATATAACATTCTTTTAACATTAGTTATATATATATATATATATATATATATATATATATATATTTTTTTTTTTTTTTTTTTTTTTTTTTTTTTTTTTTTTTTTTTTTTTTTTTTTTGTTACTCCCAACAAAGTACTAAACCCAAAACTCTTCATGGGTTGTAGTGGTAAAGATTTTTTTTAAATAATAAAATTTATTTATTTAACAACTTTAGAAATGCCTATCGGCGTATTTTGTAAATGTGATCCTCACTGACGAAGTCTCTCTCTGGTATTAAAGTGAATTCTTGATTGCTGAAATCTTCCAGTGAAGGCACTCCTAATGCGATGTTCTTAATGTATCAGATTCCTGCTCCAGAGACGTTCAAGTCTCCTTGTTGGATTTTTTTTTTTGTTGTAATATTTCTTAATTATGTCAGTCACATGTAGTATTTTTTTTATCTGTATGCTGTGATTTGTTGGTAGGGATAGTGAGTGAGTGAGTGATATACCAGAGAAATTTAGAATATAAATTGGAATATTTAAATAGTCTGTAAGTTTGTAATTATCTCACATCGTCCAAATGGGTCTAAGCAGTATATACTAATTTTGTAAGAAAGAGAGAGTTTATTAGAATAAATTAATAAATACATTTGGTAAATACAGAATAAATTAATGATAAAATATAATTGAGGAAGAAAAGAAATGGGATAGCCTGTCTAAAATTTTATTTCTGTCATAAGATTTCTGTAATATAGTACTTATCTATAATTTACTATATAATTAAATATCTTGCGATAAACGATTTGCTACAAACGATATATTATACATACGATTATGTATAACATAAACTCGAATTTACGATTCATTAGATACAAGGTAGTCGAGGGGTTGTTAACCTCTGAACTTAGCACCCACGTACATTGTGAGAGGAGAGGTGGAATATTTAATTTAAGATTTCAACAGCAATTGCCGTAATATGATGGATTATCCTGGTAGGAGCCAGAAATATCTCAGGGGAAAAAAACTAGCTCATACACAATTGGTTGGAAAATTGAGTCTGGTCGATTACAGAAACCATACAGTCCATATTTCAAACTTTGTTTATACTTCAACCAAAATACTTAAGTATGCCACTTAGAAGTATCATATAAACGATTTTGCTATCAAATACGCACATATTTATGCTGCAGTAGTCGAAAAAACTTGAAACTTAATAACTGAACCGTTTGTCATCAAGAAAATAAAATGGAAGCAGATCCTCAACCAGGATCGCCTGGTCAGTTGTATATTTCTCCCTACTTTACCCATAAATATTTTCAATTTACATGATTATCAGATTATTTTAGAGGAAGAAAATTGTCCCCATTGTATGTAGAGAGCACAAATTGGGACCGAGGAGCGTTCAAACATCCGACCAACCCCATCCACCTCAATTATTAAATATTTTAATTCAGTCTAATGCTAGAACTTAAAAATGCGACATAACCATAAAGGATACTTGGCCGTGGTAACATATTTTTGTGTAATGTACATTTGGTAAATAAATTTAAAAAAATATATTCAAGGCGAGTATCCGAAACTATTTTCTCCCAATGAATTAATGTTTGATTTCTAAACATATTAAAATAGTGATTGTGTTTAGCAATAGGTGAAAAATCAATAAAAAATATACCAACTCCAAACGAAAAAGTTCTCCCCCTCCACCCCGCGCAAACCTAAACATTAAAAAAAATCCAGAAGAAAAACTGGAACCTACCAACCATCGCCTCCAAGGATACAAATTATAACCAAGACAAGAAGCGTTATATAGAAATTTATTATCGCGTTATTAGAAAGCAAGATGTTGGATGGTAAGACGATCAACTTTAGCTAAAGAAAACAAAATGGCAATAAACAAATATTTACTATTGAAAACCAAAACTTACAACAATAAAAATAACAATTACTGCAAAGTTATTGTAAACAGATTTCCAAAGCCTCGAGTATCTCAAACAATAATTTTGCTCCGTATGTCCAGATAGATCTTAGTATAGTAGTGAAGATGAGTCTCTTGTTTAGAGTGGAGTTAAGAGGAGATCTGTGGTCCAAGATCCAAGTATAGTCCGAGAAACCGTACATAACTTTTTTTAGGAAATTAGTTATTGTCTATTGTTACATCAAGACATGGAGCTTTCTGCAGAAAAAAAATAATGAGCTTTGATATGCTGCTATCAATTTTCCATTTTTTTGAATCATTTTTTGAGAGCTCACTGAGATGGTTTTGAAGGTTAATTGATGGATAGTTAGATTTTAGATAGAAAGAACTACAAGTTTGGCGGCAGTGAAGCTAGTTTTGAAATAAGATATTTAAAGAAACATTTTACATATTTTGATTGAATACTTTAAAATTTCTATAGTTTTTGAAAGTTTAAATAATTTATAAATTATACTAATAATTCGATAAAAAAAAAAACGGAATTACAGGAAATGTTATAAAAAAATAAAAATTAGACGTTGAAGGAATAATGAAATTCATTGAATTTCTCTCTCTCTCTCTCTCTCTCTCTCTCTCTCTCTCACACACACACACACACACTCATATTTTAATTTTTTTTATAACTTTAATTCAATTGTAATATCATATTCATCTTTAACTATTCTAAACTTTAAATTGTATTTGTTAGCTGTAGTTTAGTTATGTGTGTAATTATTAATCAAATTGTAATATATAGCGAAACTGATCCAGGTGGTTGAAAAGCTGAAAACATTTATTAATAATTTTTTTTTTCTAATAGAATCAACGATATTTATGACCATTTATAAGTTGCGTTGGTCAGGAAAATATTCTAGGAGTTGAAGTTTAAACTTTTTTGGCTATTACAATGCACATACCGTATCTTAGGAGAATACAAAGGATTACTCATTTTGCATAATTTTGCTTCAAGAGCTGAGAGACATTGTTATGTAAACAGCTTCCCCGCTCCAAATGGATTCGACAAGCTGCTGGCCTTCGGATTTTACTTCCGACTGGACCAGATAAATATATACTTTGTACTTAGTCATATTTCGACCCTACAGGTCGGAATTGTAAATATTAAGTATAACACTTGATTTATATTGAAACGATTAATTGGTCCAACGTTCTGCGTCATTTCCTTGGTTCATTGTCTAATTTATCTTTAAAAATATTTCTTCGGTTTATTGCAAAAAGTCACTAATCAGGAGAGGCTACAGTCTATGGGTCACCGATTTCAATCTTTTTTTTTTTTTTTTTTTTTTTTTTTTTTTTTTTTTTTTTTTTTTTGAGGTACTACATGAAAAATATTAGACACATATCCTGGAATTCTTTCCAATGGGCCCTAGGAGCCGAGAAAGAAAATATAATTCAAACAAAATGTATGCTATTTATTTTTGATTTTCCCAGATTATATCAATCGTTTTATTATTGAAAAATGAAATAAATGAATGAAAAATCAAATTATATTCCATGGCAGGGTCCTTTAAAACTCTTCTATACGAATTGCCATATAAATTAAAAATACAACCTTGAGTAATTGATTTTTTTTTATGTTTTTCCGGCCGTTCAACTAAAGCATTCATAACTCCATAGGATTTTCTATAAAAACAACTTTAATATAACGGTTGGAAAGTTAAAACATGCTATGATTATAGTTGCAATATAAGTACTGAATTCTCGTAAAGGGAATAAAATAATTTTTTTTTAAATCTTTTTATTGAGAAATAATACATTTTGCCACATTTAAGGGCACTGAGTACTAAAGCTGAGTGAGGCCCATTCGTACTATATATACAATACAACAAAAAATTAATAAAAATAAATAAATAAAAAATAAAAATATATATCTATATAACAAAGGTAAAAACTATAAAACCAAAGAAATGTAACTTGAAATCAAATTTTAAAAAAAATACAGAAATTGGTAGAAAATTAAATAAGTCATAAGTAAAACAAATAAATATATAAAAAAGAAAAACATTCATACTTAATTACAATATTTACAATCAGCCAAGGGAGCTCCGAGTCCAGCCCTTTCCTCCACGTGTGAAGGACAAAGCGAGATTCTAAGAGATCCCAGCGCTTCTCTCTCAGCCGCGTCACCGGCAGGAGTCTAGTGGAAACTGAGAGAGGGCACTAAAGCAACAGACGCTCATGACGTGAGTGGAGAGGCTGGCCATTGCCAGAACTCCAGTGACAGTCTTTACAAAAGGTCTCGAGGCCACTGCCGTTTCAACCTTCGTGGAGGATTGTAGGAGTGACTGGAGCTGGATAAGGATTGTGCTAAGGCGTTAGGATGGTGGATTAGGTTCAGATGAAAATTTGAGAATCGAGATGGAATAACGTCAAGGACATAAGGGATGTAAAGGTCATGATGTAGGGTTTTGTTCGTAACATAATAAGTAGCATTAACTATTATACGGAGGACTTTAGACTGAAAGGATAGGATGCGTTTGATGTTCGAAAATTTGGTTTTCCCTCACAGCTGAAGTCCGTAGGTCCAGATGGGTTTGAGTATGGTCTTGTATATTAATAGTTTGTTTTCTATTGAGAGAATGGATTTTCTGTTAAGTAGTCTGTATATCTGGTCAAATCGTCGGTTAAGTTCTTGTCTTTTAAGTCTGGTATGTGGGTTCCAAGTTAGTATGTTGTCTAAAAGGAATCCAAGATACCGAACTGTGTCTGAGACGGGGAGAGGTACAGAGTTGAAAAGGATATATGGACAGGATCTGCGTCGGAGGGTAAAGGTGACATGCTT